CACATGTATTCACCCTCGCCCCCCCCCCCCCCCCACGCCGCCGCAGTGAAGAGAAACGTGTCGAAACATAGCCTATTTTATTTGATGCCATGGACTTCATGTGAGAGAGAGAGAAATGGGGTTTAACGTCCACTCGACACAAACTAGGTCATTTCGGGACTAACATATGGTTTAATTTTATTTCAATAATTCGCTTGCGCGTAGGGGTCTTTAGCAGTGGGAGGAAACCGGAGGACCCGGAGAAAACCCACGAGGTTGGACAGGCGACCCTACTCCTTGTCACGTACAACCGGGGATTCGAAACCACGCCAGTCGACTCAATGACAGACTTTATGATACAGCGCGCGCGCTAACCATTCAGCCATCCACCCCCCTGGACTTCATGTATCGAAACTCTAACCCAGGCTCTATGGCTGGATTCAAGTGAAAATAATTTTGTGGAATATTTCAAGGGACAGTAGGCCTACAAAATCCCTAAAAAGAATTTCGTTCAGGTGAGTATCCGTTGCGTGAGTGAGACTTAAAATTTAGTTAAGAAATGCATTAAAATTAGCCATTATTTTTAAGAAAATAACGAAGAATAATTTCTGTGGGTACTGGTGGGATTTGGATCGCAATATGCCCGCATGTGCATCTGGGGGTCCTAAGGAACCAACAGTGGTTGTAATGTTGTATGGTCCGGATTCATGATTTAGGGCCTTGTCACATTTTGCATGCTTTTCTCACGAACACGTTCTTAATGCACCGGACTATCTAATCAAGCGTATCCAATGCCTTCAAAACTCCGCTGCACGCCTTGTCTGTCACACTACGAAATCTTTACACATCACTCTCATTCTTTTCTCACTACACTGGTTACCCATCGCACAACGAATCCATTTTAAAATTCTACACAATCAAGAGCACCTTCGTACTTACGTGATCTTATCTCCTGTCGTCAGTCAACTAGAACCACCAGATCTTCATCAGGAATACAACTGTTCGAGCCACGTTACAAGCAGGAGTTTTATGGCAAACAAGCGTTTTCTATTGTCGCCCCTCGTCTTTGGAATGACACACCTTTAAATATCCGTAATGCTCCATCACTTGAATCTTTTAAATCCCAACTAAAAACTCACCTTTTTAGCATAGCATATTATCAGTTTTAATTATTTAATTATTATATTTAATTGTGGATCTACTTTTAACGTAAATGTTATTTATATACATACATTTTGTTGTTTTTCTTTTTGATGTTGTACCGCCTATTGAGATCTATGTTGATGTAATTGTCGTTAAATAATAAATATTATTATTATTACCATATGTTTACACTATTTGCGTACGCGGGGCGACAATTTTGTCTTGCAGTTTTGGTCCGATTTTCACGAAATTCGAACTCAACCAACATCACGGTGTAACGGTGATATAATATTCGAACGGTTTTAAACATGCATTTCAAGTTTGATCAAAATCAGATGAAAATTGTTACCTCTAGTGTGTCCACAAGTTAAAACCGTGATTTTTCGTACAATCAGCGGCCATAATCCATGAAGTTATGTTCCGAAACATTCCAACATCGAAAGGAACCTAGATCTTTGGGAGTTAGACCTATATTTTAGGTTTCGTCAACATCGGATAAGAATTGTGTTCTGTAGAGTGTCCACAAACAAATTGTGGACGAACAGAAAGAAAGACATGGGGCGACGACAATATACGAATGCGATTTGCAGATAGTTCGTTTGAAATGTGAATTTGATATTTAGATTCTTTATTTGTTGCAATCTGCATCGTTGCCAATTCGTGCATTCCAAAATACAGAATACATGGTCATTGAATCGTTTCAACTGATTTTCTAAATATAATCTGTAATCCACGCCATGTTCAATTTCTACAATTGAGTGTAATTTTTCCTCAAGAAATCCCATTGTTAAGTTACTTAATTGTGGCAGCTGATCGTTGGTACCCATCGCTATACCAAATGTAAAAGTGTGCGAATGGCTATGATGAATTTTCTTTTTAAAATTCTCCCATGACTTCATTCAGGATGTTTATTCAGCCAATAGTCTACGGTCTGGGGAAATGTGGCCATACATATTACAAACATCCATGGATACGAAATAGTCGCCATTTTTTAGATTTTGGAGTAATGTATTAACGAAATTTATGTCACTCCGAATAACATATTTTTAATTTGGCACGTACGGCGTGTGTAAGATATCAATGAGAATTGATATATGTTAGTAGGATAGTACGGACCGGCAATTATTGTTCTGAATGGGAGATCGCCTGACTTGAATTCGGCATTTTAGTGTTTAATGGACACCTTGATCATCTTGGATTTATGGATTTTTGGAAGACCATAAACTGACTTGTTTTATACTCGAATTTCCGGAGATAATCATATTCGTTGTCCCTCAGTTCGATTTTGTGATTTAGTATTAAGCCGATTATTAATCCATGATAACGATGCCCCCCCCCCCCTTTAATAACGATCGTGTCGTTAGATTTCAAAGAATTTATAGCGCACTGTTCCTCTTTGACATATTTTATTTTGCGTTGCGGTTTATAGGGAGTGGCAACTTGGTTAAATAGTCGATGAAATTGTCCAGCGACGTGACGTACTTGCAACGCCTGGGGTTGAAGTGACTTGTTCCCCACAACATCTTCTGGCGCAGTTTAACCGTTTCACACAAAATTTCCTTTAGTCGTAGCTTCCTACAGAAAGCGTTTATATCCCACTCTACTCTACATATTTGCTCTAGGCGTGGTGTGAATTTTAAATCTTTCTGGGTGAGGTATATCTCGTAATCATTTAAGACTATGAATGGTTCTTTGTGTCCCGAATTTCGTCCTTGGTTTTTGCATTTTTATTCCCGGCCGTTTGCCAGGTGTCTCGAGATAGTGGCGCATCGGAAGAATTGGGTTCCTCGGTATCTTGTTCGTCACTGTGTGGATGCGCCCTATTTCTGAAGCACGCGTTGGCAAGTTGGTAAGGCATAATTTGTTCTTTTTTTCCATATCGCGTGTGACTTATTTTCCTCCGTAGAAATGTCTGCGATCAGCGTGTTTTTCAGAAGGTCCAGTAGTTCTTTTTCATGGTGTCCTTCGAGGAGTGGCAATGGCGTCATCTTCGTTTATCCGTTTAGTTTGGTTCACCGACTCATTTAGTCTTGGTTTTCCTACAGTTTGCGAGGGATGAAGGGAATGTCCATTTCTAAAAACTCTTGGTATATTTCAGCCCTTTCCTTATTTTATAGAATACTGTTTTTCTAACATTCTTGCATATGTTCCACGCTTTTGTTATCTACTTTACTATAGGCAATATGAACTGTGACACAAAAACCTCATATTGTAATGGTTTCCACCACTTTAATATCGGAAAGATGGACACACGTCTAAGGGGCGGGGTCCACCGACGTGTGACGATAAGTACGCCATCTATTTCGGTGCTGAATGCTACAAAATGTACCATAATTTTTTTTCAATTGTCAAAAGAATAAAAATTGATTTCTGTGTTCTTTGTATTATTCCGATCATCAACGTTATCAGCGGTTGATATGAACCAAATATATCAACCTGAGATGGCGTCATCAGCGGTTGATATGAACCGAATATATTAACCTATGGTGATATGAGATATAACTTCTATGCACATCTAGCCAATGATGAAATATCCAAAATAGAGACTGGAAATGAGGTCAAAAAACGCGTGTGTAGCGCTCTTATTCGAAAGAGAACATAGCAAACAACGCATATTAAAAAGTAAACATTTCAATGAAAATATAGACCTTTAACCGACCTGGCTATACTATAAGATTTACAAATCGCGAGACCCCACTTCCGCTATGCTAACGCAACTCTGAATTTGATCAGTGGCCAGAATAATTATATAATTAAAATCAAATAAAAGTACACGAGAAGGTAACATTCCAATGTGTCACAGTGGTTTGAAGAGCAATTTGCGTGTATTTCAAATAGCTATATTTATATTTTCTTCACGGATACGTGATGTGTGTACCAGCTAAAACCATTTCATTAGGTTAAAAAAAAATGAATACCCCAACTTGTGGGTTTTGTTCGAGGTAAATTGATTTGATAAAATTCTGGTGGTTATATGAATATATATTCATCGAAGATTTAACTAATCTTTTTTATGAACCAAGAATTCAGCTAATCAATGAAAATGAACCTTAATCAATAATACAACGGGGATTAATTAACAGTCATGTAGTCATATTAGTTCACTAGTCGTAATAAGGTTCTTATATTGGTATTCTCAAAAGTAAAACAAGGATTTTAACCAACTGGTAATAAAATCCACTGTTGGATATGTCGAGCAACCTATTACAGATGCATTATATCGACTAATCACCTTTATAATATAGCCACAGATGTTAATGGATTCGGGAGTGGTGGTTAACCGTGAAAATTAAATTAATTATTGTGTATATGATGATGATTATTATTCCCCAGTAATCAACAACTTTCGTCCTTATACAACCACGAATATACCATTGCATAGTTGGTGTAATACGCAAATACCCGGAGAGGGAGACATGGGATATAACGCCCACTCGACACAAACTAGGTCATTTCGGGGCTAACACATGGTTCAATTTTATTTCAATAATTCGCTTGCGCGTAGGGGTCTTGAGCAGTGGGAGGAAACCGGGGGACCCAGAGAAAACCCAGGCGACGCTACTCCTAGTCACGTTCTATGGAGGAATCGAAATCACGCCAGTTGACTCAATGACAGACGTTATGATACAGCGCGCACATGCTAACCATTCGGCCATATCCAACCCCCTGCAAATACCTGAAGAGTTATAATTGGACGCTCATGACAGTGACACATTTTATGATTGCTTCACAACCCCGTACCATGATCATATACATGTGTATGGTAATAACAATACCTGAAGATCGATTTCAGCTTAAATCGATTTTTATCCCAGTCGTATCACCATGCGGCCTACTAGATATAGCTTGTATTTTATAACGCATAGAAATGGTTCACATTGAAATGGCGTTAACAACTTATCGGCCATTATTACTATTATTTGGAATACAATTAATTGGAGGGTGTAATTTTTCAATGAATATAGGTAAGTGTTCTCATAATAATAATTTACCTCTCTTCCAGTGTTTCAAGTTGATAAATCCAAATTCCATAATTGTTTCATTGTTCAGATCAAATTCAAATTTTAACATTTTTAGCTAAAAATATCGAAATGATTCCATATGTATTAGATACAAAATGAATAATTCGATGAAAATATTATATTTAAACGACAGTGTTTCGTTTTGTGGTAATTTCGTTTAAAATTGCGAGAGAATATTTTATCGCGGACTTGGGATATTTAGCTTTTTATTATCATTCTGTTCAAATTTTCATTTTGAATTCATTGATTCCATTTTTTTTACAAATATCTAATACTTCCCTTCGTGACAAACAAGAAACGGAGGATATCCAGCTAACTTAAATTTAAAAATCGATTAAAAAGAACTTACGTTTGTCTATAAATCTCGAAAACAACATAAAACAATTGATATTTTTATGGAATTACAATCAGCATACTTTTTGTACAATATCTTTCACTTTTCGATTTAGAAAACAGTGCTAATATCACTCACTAAAGTAACTCTCGTGATCCTTCAAGGAAGAAGCAGTTAGCCACCCTGTTCTGATTACGTATATCTTAATAAAACAATCGGTTGGCATGGAAGATACGCCAACATTTTGCAAGAGATGGACGGCAACAGGGAGAATCGATGATCAAAGCCTATATTGTGTTTTCAAGGCTTTCGGAAAATGTGCAACAGAAGGTGCGAACAGTGGCGATGCCAGGCATTTGCCCTCCTGTAAATTTGGTTTGCCCTCCCCCCTCCCCTAATTTTTAAAAAAAAAATATATATTTGGGATATTTTTCTGTAATCAATACATCGTACGGTGATTAAATCCCATATTCCCACTCAGTCTAAACTTGCATGTTGTAAAGTCCGAGTGAACCCATATTGCTGTAAACATACTATAAACAATAACACATAAACCACTTGAGAAGTGTTTTTTACAATCTTCAAAGTTTTTGGGTATGGGTTCAACGCGGCAAGAATATTCATCCACTTTGATTCACTCACCCCGTTCGTTGGACACACCCCTCTCTGTTCGGATATAAGCTAGTGTGTCTGAAATACTGCCAGGCTGCATTTTCGACGGCAGTCTATTTCTCGAAGGCGGAGTATCAGGTTCAAAATGCGATCTAGAGTAGAAAGTAAAAAATGAAATATAAAAGAAAATTCGGATCGATGAGGGGCATTTTCGCGTGGAAAACTTGTACCTCTTGCGTTTTTCAACTTTTATGTCGTAAATATTCTACTTTTAACAACAGAATTTGTTCTTTCAATAATCAACCTTTGACATCCGTCTTTCAACTTCAGAATTTGTACTCCTACTTTTCTACTAGAGATTATCTTTATGCATAATTTACGGAAATAAATTTAATCACGTGACTTTTTGCATGCCATTAAAATACCGTATTTTTCCAAAAATAAAATAAAATGAACGATCCCAGGGAAAATAACTCTTAACCGTACGTCTGCTTTCAATCTGTCTGCTGTGCTTTAGCTCATCATCATGGAGGACTTGGCAGAATTATTAAGAAACCACAAGAAGCGGATGTACTTTAAATGCTAGCGCAGGAGCAATTACAAGTAGGTCAACGCCCGAAGTGGCGGAAGTAAGAAGATTGTTTTCCCCTTATCGCCATAGTAACTCAAAGAAGAGAGCAACGACTGCCACTGAAAAACCGGCATTATTTTCAACAAAGGCTGCCCTATGAACTCATTGCCATTAACTCCCCCGAAGAAGTTATTTAGGCCTATTTACTGAAATAGCAAGTCATTCGGGTTTTTACTAGAGAGTACTTCTTCGTTTGAGATATGACACCAAATTATTTTACCTCTACTCTTATTTGCAAAACTACTGAAGAAAACAAAATCTAAAAAATGCTAAAAAAAAACTAACGACGGTGTTACATTTTAAAGTTTGTAAATATTGAAAGCTTAATACACAAACTCTGCATATTTCCGTCATGTGAATACGGGGACTTGCAGCGTAGCGCGCCTAAAGGTAATTGAAATGAATTCTAGTTTTCTATTTGTAGAATGTACATACCAAACGAGGCCTTTTTTTTAGTGAACTGTCATTTGAAATATACATTGTTAACCAAGAATGTGTTATTATCATATTTGTCGATCTACATCTATAAATACATATGTATGTATTCCTCTTGCTTTATTGGTAGCCCATATGACTCAGTGAAAATTCACTGTCTGACTAACCAGGAGATCATAGGTTACATCCCGGTATGGCCGAGAAAGATCCTCGAGATCTTCAGCTTCGCCTCCCCTTGTTTGGATGGGACGAAGACCGAATTCCGCGGTGTACACGTTGGTGATCACGTAAAAGAACCCTTGACAGTTTGAATTCGATAAAGAAAAGACAGACACGCTGTTGTACGGCCGTGGGACGTTAAATCCAAAGCCATTTCTTGCCATTTCCAGGTTTGCTGTTGTGTTTCTTCTGAGAAATAAAAGAAAGAAAAGACATTTGTCCATACGTCGCTTTTGTGTAAACAGTTGCTACGTTTTTATAGTGCTCAGTCGAAAAATGCCAATCAAGGAATTAATCTAGAATTAAATGAACAATTCTGAAGAAATATTGCTAACTCTTAAAATGCATTATCACAGCACAAATTCGTTAACATTATATTGTTTTTGAGAACATGTTGTGTATATCGCCTTCATAAGCCCAGTTCTTGCCGAACGGTAGATCGATAAACCCTATTTAATTTCTGTTGGGTTTATTTATAATTTATCTTTTATATTCACAAATCCAGTGTAACAAAACACTGCAATAGCTATAGACAAATGATAAAAGTGTTCTGTGCCTAACGAATCCCATAACTAACTTGTCTTTACAATATATATGATGCGACGCTAACTTTACTATCCCGGGTAAACAAACCAACCTAAAGAGCTTTAATAGCCACCAAACTCCCCGGGGATTCTATTACAGTTCATTAATTTCTGTGAATTAAGCGTCTCTTTTGATTTTTTTTTGTTTTTATGTATTAATTTTAGTGATATAAAGATTCAATTCAATATTTCGTATAAACATTATATTTATACGTCCATACGAAAAAAGGCTAGATTATTTTCAAATTTAGTGTGACGATTGCAGATCGATTTTCAGCGTTCATGGGATTTTTTTCCAGGGCTATTCACCCCTTCACTCCGACGGAAAATTTCTTGTTAACGCCATTCAGCATAGGTAGGGTTTTGGAAGGAATTCTCTCAATATTGATATACAGCATAGGCACCATTGGGCAATGATTCTTATCGATTTTTCTGAATTTTTCTTTTCGAATGACGGCCCTTGTCATTGCGGCCGAGAACTTTTTCTTTTTGGTGTGAAGCATTTGGGTCTTGAAAAGACGAACCCTATCGATTTTCAACTTTCCGCGATCTTCCCTTTTGGTGTTCTGCCCCTTTTGTCAAAAACATTTTGGCAGCTTTTCAAATTTGGCGTTAAGTACTAGGGACATGAGAGAACGAACAATATCAATTTTCAGCATTCAGCGACCCTTCATTCAAGAGTTATGCCTCCTTTGCTTGAAAATCCTGACATCGCGATTTCTTGTTTACGCGATATAGGCTACAGTTTTTGAAGCAATTTTGTTTTCTAGCTCGAGGATCATGAGAAGATGAAAATATTAATTTTCAGCGTTTCAACTAGGTTTAGGAAGATCGAGTGGTATAAAGGAAGAAGAAAATAAAGAAGTTCTGCAGAAATATGTTGGGATGTTGCTTTGGTTTCGTAGGCGATAAGAATTTATATAAGGTGATATCAGTTGAATAAGTATTCGGGAGTGATATGGTTTACTATTTTGTAGAATAAAATTAATTTATATCGCCGTGTGATAAAACCGGGTTCTTTATATAACAGTTGGTATCTTGTACCCTTCACAGCGCCGCATATATAGTCCTGAGTGCATCTAATTGTAAAAGTTCTAGTTTATGTGTTAGTTCGGTGGTACTCTCATCCCAAATAACGTCACAGTAGTCGAAATTTGGAAGCATATGAGGTATACATGGTTTGGAGAGTTATATATTTTAATGAGCTTCTGTTGAAAAGAACATTCGCATCCAACACACTAGTATTGGACACTTGAATAAAAGTTAATGTGTTAGTCGCATTTTGGCCAGGCTATTGTGTTGACGAGACTTTAAATTCCATTCATCCTGTCATTCAACAGTTTTAGCCTGTATTATTAATACCAAAATGAAATGGGGTTTGTATTTGGTGCAGTATTCGATTATAATTTTAATCATCTCGTTATTATGAATATATTGTAGAATGCCACACTTAATGTTCTGGCAAACTCTTTACTTAATATCAAAACTATATAAAACACCAACCAGTGAAACGCGGGGTAAGTAAGCTAGTTTACTGATATATGTATTTAAACGTGTAATCCATATTAATAACATTCGTACGTGTTAATTCCATGCTGGATTTAAGATTGTTTTTGAGACGAGTCCGCATTTGTCTAATCTGCAGAATTTGAAGAAATAAACCCTGTAAATATCTGTCTGTGGAAATTCACCAAGAGGTTGTTTTACTGTCCTTTTTCTGAGTTAGAAAATGATTGGACGTGAGAGGCTCTTGACTATCTGCTGCCATTGCTATTGACCGACAAATCACTTTCGATTCAGCTTTGGTGAATAAAGTTCTAGCGATGTGTCATCAAGTTGACCAACATTTTTGTCTAATAGTGAGGAGAGAACACAAAATAAATTTCTTCCAAACTTTGTCATGCAACATTTCCTTCTGGACTATGTCAAAGTCTAAGTGTGATTTCAAAAGTTCAGCGTTCGCACCTACAACATTGTTACCTTGATCACCTTGTTAATAACACTTCTGTACGAGCTCAGAAAGGCGTCTGTTTCTAATGAATTTAGTCTCTAAATGAATTGCTCTGGAAGTGAGTCCGGTATAAAGAATGTTCTAAGATCTAATTGAGCTAGAATGTTAAACTTGGTGTAGGTGTTTATTAGGTCGATGCCTTGATGTATAGCTTTATTATATCAATACCTTGACTAAGTTCGATGATGAACATTTTTTGCTGAGGGTAAGCAGAGTGATACGCAATTTGATTGGTCAAAACTTTGGAACACAATAACTCTCCTTCTAATTGAAGTAGAATGTTCAAACTTGGCGTAGGTGTCTATTAGGCGAATGTTTAAACTTGATGTAGATGTTCATTAGGTGAATGTCTTGACTGAGTTCTATGATTAACATTTCGAGCTAAAGCTAAACAGAGCTAATGTTAAGTATCAAATGACAAATATGTTGTTAGAAAATGCTTTTATTGACGTGTCTACATTTTACATCTCTCACATTACATTTTACATTTGCGCTCTGCCACATCTCATTTGTCCTTCACGCTTTCTACATAGCATCTTTCGCCCAGCATCAACTTTCAAATACATATGTAGGATATCACGTGACTTATTAACATATACGGAAACCTGGCACACTATAAACCAGCACACTACAAGGATATTCACCGCACGATAACAGTTAATCAAGCTGGCACACTATAAGAAACTATCCAGACGACCGTGCGTAATCCTGAATGTGTCAGGAAATAATTGATAGATTCAAAGAAACATACTTTCTAGTAATGTATAACACAATAACTGAAATTTCGTATTAATACCCGTATTTTGATGGTCTTTCTATAAAAAGGGTTGAGTACAGCCTAATTAACTTTATTCCATTAAAAAACCCCGACAGTATACAAGCATTGTGCCCAACAAATAAATAATATATTTAAAGAGAGGAATGACTATACATTTTTTAGTATAGACATAGAGAATCTTTAGTTTAGTTTAGCCCCCCCCCCCCCTTCATTTCAACTTTAATCTCATTATGAATGTGCCAAAAAGTTATTTGCATATTTGAAAAGCGCAATCAGTGATACGTAACATGGTATCTGGAATTTCGTATTTAGACCAGTATTTTTACTTGAATACCCCTTTAATAGTGTTTCATACCACTCGATGTTTTTCAAGGTATGCTAATCTGAATGTGCCAGTAAATTATTTACCTATTTTAAGCAGCAATGGACGTGCTTTTAGTGATAGATATCGAGAATTTCGAATTAAGAACCGTATTTTAACATTGAGCCCCCCCACCCCTCCGCAATCATGTCAATAGATTTTAGTTCCATCCAACTTTGGTAGTTTTTCAGGGAGTATGAATGTGCCAGACAATTATTTACATATTTCAAAAAAGCAATTATAGGTAACATTTTGGATTTTTTTTCTATCAAGACTCGTATTTTAACATTGAATACCTCCACCCCACATACACGCACATGCAGTCACTTAAACATGCATTATGCAAGAGCTAAATCTGTCTATTGCAGGTCTTTCTTTAGGCCTTAAATATTATCTAAATTAGTAATTAGGCAAATTAATTAATCCACCAGACCATAATCATTATGAAAATACGATTGTACTAGAAAACTATTTACATATTTACAAATAGAAATGAACGTGCTTTTCACTAATATGTAACATGATACCTGGAATTTCCCGGAATTTCGTATTTGGACATTGCACAGCCCCCCCCCCCTCCCGTAATCATGGTAAAGTACCATCTAAAGTGTCAGGGTAAGTAAATTTCTTATTGTGTGCTAAGCTGATTCCGTCTTCATTAGCCCAGTTCGGAGCAGAACAGTAGGATGTTTAACCCCATTTCATTTCATTTTGCTAAGCTAATTTCCTGTTACAGTGTCGTGAATATCCTTGTAGTGTGCTGGTTTATAGTGTGCCTGACACATTCAGGATTACGCACGTTTATCTGGATAGTTTCTTATAGTGTGCCAGCTTGATTATCTGTTATCATGCGGTGAATATCCTTGTAATGTGCTGGTTTATAATGTGCCAGATTTCCGTATATGTTAATAAGTCACGTGATATCCTACATATGCATATGAAAGTTGATGCTGTGCGAAACTTGCTATGTAGAAAGCGTGAAGAAGAAATGGGATGTGGCAGAGCGGAAATGTAAAATGTAATGAGAGAAATGTAAAATGTAGACAAGTCAAAAAAACCCAACATTTTCCCACAAAACATTTGTCATCTGACACTTAACATTTGGCATTTTACATTTAATTCTTGCCTTAGAGGTATTTTGACTTTATCATTACCGGTATTAGGACTTTGTACATTGTACTTTTTACATATAATCAATGGAAAAGACATTGTAGCAGAGCATTTAATATTGGTAGCGATACACTTCCATACACAACTGCTTGTTTGTGAACAGTCTACAGGTCACAATATTTATCCGATTTCAATGAAACTTGAAATATAGGTTTATCACCCTAAGATCTCGGTTCCTTTCGATATTGGCATGTATCGGACTGTAACTTCATGAATTATGGCCCCTGATTGTACAATAAATCACGTTCGTTCTCAAAGATTTCGGTTCCTTTCGATATTCGCGCATATCGGACTGTATCTTCCTGAATTATGGCCCCTGATTGTACGAAAAATCACGTTTTTAGCTTGTGGACCCTATAGAGGTCATAATTTTTATCCGATTTAAAAAACCGTTTTATTATATCACCGTTACACCCTAAGGATGGCCGAGTTCGAATTTCGTGAAAATCGGCCCAAAACTGATAGATAAAATGGCCGCCCTTCGTTCTCAAATAGCGTAAAAATATGGTATATCAAGATTGTGGACCCTATAGAGGTCAAACTTTTTATCCGATTTTGTTGAAACTTAAAATGTAAGTTTATAACCGTATTATTATATCACCGTTACACCCTAAGGACGGCTGAGTTCGAATTTCGTGAAAATCGGCCCAAAACTGACATAAAATGGCCACCCTTCGTTCTCAAATAGCGTAAAAATAAGGCGTATCAAGGTTGTGGACCCTATAGAGGTCACAATTTTCATCCGATTTTGTTGAAACTTGAAATGTAAGTTTATAACCCAAAGATCTTGGTTCCTTGTGATATTCGCGCATATCGAATTGTAATTTCCTGAATTATGGCCCTTGATTGTAGGAAAAATCACTTTCGTTTTAGCTTGTTCTCTATCAATCTCTCGAAAATGTGGGCGTATCCTGCCTGGCAGCCGCTGGTTGTATTAATAGATACATAGTAATGATTAACTATACTGAAATAATAAAAAAGAAATATTGCTTTTCAGGCACTCTGTCTTTATCTGAGGTACCACCGCCTGTTTCAAGAACAACTTTACAGATCACGTGTAATAGTCAAATAAACTTAACAGTTTACTCCGTTGCCGTACAGACCGGTTATCAACTATTATTATATAGAGAGGGTAAAGATTTTATATTTATCTTGTAAAATTAAATATTATACTTGTTATTTAGAGAAAAGGAATAATTTATAATCGAAGTTATGTTATACAGAGAAAGTAAACAACTTATAATTGACCTATAATGTAAAACAACCTTGATATATTGAAAGTAAATAATTTATAGTTGACTGGTAATGTAAAACAAACTTTTATATAAATTATAGCAATCGTAAATAATACATTATGACTTCAAATGTCAAAATTATTATACAAAGAACTAAATGGCTGTAAAACCTTTTAGTGCAATGTCTGTGAATAAATATTAAACAGATAAAGGAATCTAAAACACTAACAATCAAATTAACTTTATAATATTAAACATGCATTATGCAAGAGCAAAATCTGCTTATTACAAGTCTTTCTTTAGAAATATCAACCTGTCATCAGCGGTTGATATGAACGAATATATCAACCTATGATGACGTCATGACAGGTTGTTATGAGATATAACTGCTATGGACATCAAAGAAAAAACTACAGCCAGTTGTATATCAAGAATTAAAACGAATGAATCAGACTCAACCATATGAATATCTGCTTCACCATCACCTCTTAGTAACCATGCTGACGTGTGGACTGATTACCAATTTCAAACCAGTTACTCAGATGGAGGGGTATCTTTTGGACCAGTCAATGGCCTCGGTGAGATTACTCAAAAATATATTCGTGTTATAAAGGAGAATACTTTGCCCGATATCCGTATTATAGAGGAGAATACTTTGCCCTAAGTGAGTAAGACGCTGTCTCGCTAGCCTGGAAGTCGGTGTTTGATCCCTGCATTGGCCGAGAAAGTTCATTCAGATTTTCTGGCGTGGTTCCCCCTTGTCAGTGATACAGGACGGAGGGCCTGACAAGGACAGCTGTCTAGTCGTTCGGATGGGACGACAAACCGAGGTCCCGTGTAGACATTGGTGTGCACATAAAGATCCCTTGACAGTTGGAATTCGATATAAGAGTAGGCCGTAGTGCAGTTGTCCGGGCAAAATTTCCCTCATAGCACATTGTATGGCGTATGCCCGTCTTCATTAGCAGAACAGTAAGACGTTAAACCACATTTTATTTCATTTCGGATACTTTGCCTGATATTGAAAGTCCGAGACCGAGAATATTAAACATGCATTATGCAAGAGCAAAATCTTCTTATTGCAAGTCTTTCTTTAGGCCTGAAATGTTATCTAAATTATCAATTAATCATTAATTAACTTATCCAGACCATAATAAACTCTCGATGTCAAGGCTAGCCTTCGATGTTGGCTGGATTAGATTCCTATATGCCGCTTAACGGCCATTGATAATTAAATCAACTCAGTGGATAATCGAGACTATGCTGTTTATATTAATGATTTGATTAATGATGACCGAGACTATGCGAAAATGTCACCCGCTTCGTTCTCGGCTCATAGTGGATCAATTTGACTGAAATTTTCAGCAAATTACCTTTACACTATGGAAAATTACCGAAGTAATCACGTGCAATTACGTGCATGTTTTTGTTTATACGCGTCGCTATTTTGGGGTATTGAATTGCAAACAAAATGGATTGTAATACGAAGTCAGACGAATAATCAATCCCTTTTAGCCAACCGATGGAATAGATGTGAATGCAAATATCGATGAGGATCTATCCAAAGCCTGAAGAAAATTTTGATCAAAAGGCATTCTTTTTCGATAATTCTGACAGTGAACTCTGAAGGTTTTCGGTATGTTCAGAGAAGAATTTGACCGACTGTTTTAAGTGGACTGTACCCAAAAATACTTTATAAAGGAACTATTGCGCGATAAATACTTTCAAGTCTAGGTAGGAGTGTGTGGACGGAAAGAAGATTCTGAAAGATATCTTAGACATGGAGTATGGATAACCGATTTAAATATGCCGAAATGTACGCAGTCTAGTTCGGTCCTGAATGTTACAAACTGTACCATAACAATTTTTAATTGTCAAAAGAATAAAAATTTATTTCTGTGTTTTTTTTGTATTATTTAGATCATCTACGTCATCAGCGGTTGATATGAGTCGAATATATCGACCTGACATGACGTCATTAGCGGTTGATATGAAATATCAACCTGTCATCAGCGGTTGATATGAACGAATATATCAACCTATGATGACGTCATGACAGGTTGTTATGAGATATAACTGCTATGGACATCAAAGAAAAAACTACCGCCAGTTGTATATCAAGAATTAAAACGAATGAATCAGACTCAACCATATGAACATCTGCTTCACCATCACCTCTTAGTAACCATGCTGACGTGTGGACTGATTACCAATTTCAAACCAGTTACTCAGATGGAGGGGTATCTTTTGGACCAGTCAATGGCCTCGGTGAGATTACTCAAAAATATATTCGTGTTATAAAGGAGAATACTTTGCCCGATATCCGTATTATAGAGGAGGATACTTTGCCCTAAGTGAGAAAGACGCTGTCTCGCTAGCCTGGAGGTCGGTGTTTGATCCCTGCATTGGCCGAGAAAGTTCATTCAGATTTTCTGGCGTGGTTCCCCCTTGTCAGTGATACAGGACGGAGGGCCTGACAAGGACAGCTGTCTAGTCGTTCGGATGGGACGACAAACCGAGGTCCCGTGTAGACATTGGTGTGCACATAAAGATCCCTTGACAGTTGGAATTCGATATAAGAGTAGGCCGTAGTGCAGTTGTCCGGGCAAAATTTCCCTCATAGCACACTGTATGGCGTATGCCCGTCTTCATTAGCAGAACAGTAAGACGTTAAACCACATTTTATTTCATTTCGGATACTTTGCCTGATATTGAAAGTCCGAGACCGAGAATAAGTCTCAACCCAGCACCAAAAACAATGTATATCCGTAGGGGTAATTGCCTCAAAGATTTAATAGCATCGTTCAAGTATGTAAAGGCCAATACACCCTTGATTTTAAAGCGAGTATTAGATAATGGTAAGATGGAACTGGGCGAAGGTAGTGGCGTGGCCATGTACTATTGGCTTGGATGAGAAGATTCCCTTCTTGTGGCATGACTATAAAGAATCAGAATGGAAGGCATGCGGGAGGATATTTCAAATACATTCCTGTTCAGCTTAGTTGAACAACTTCTCTCCTAGAGAGTTACCTGCGATACGTGTGTCATGATGAAAGAGACACTATAAAAAGGCTTTGGTAGATTTTTCTGCTTTAAAAGACGAGCTTCTGGACGTGTTAGACAACCATCCATGTAAAAAAATGCCAACCAAAGAAAACCTGATAGAAATTATTGAGGAAATTGCACACGAGGAGATGATTCAGGAACCAATGTTCGTCATTGATTGTTGGAACGAAGAAATTACCCATAGTAAGGTCAGTCTTCAACATTTGACAGAGGAAACATTTACAAATTTGCATGAAGAAAGTATTTCAATCAGTCGACGTATTTTGAAGAGGTTTTTCGTTAATGTGGTTAGTAACTCACAAGCAGAATCAGCTTCATTCCTACAAAATACTTAAGAGAAATAGAGAGATCAATGTTTTAAAAGTTTCTTTTGTTGTGCATATTACTGCAAAATGAAATATTGACAAACTTTGTGAAAGTATTTGTTTTCCACCCGTTCTGAGTGGCCCGTTTGTAAGACATTGTCTTAAATATGAAACTATTGCATGCAAGTATCTTGAAAAGAAGACGGGTTTCATTGTGTCTAAATGTGGAATGTTTGTGCACCCAAGTTATCCGTAACTTGGTGCAACTCCTGATGGAGTAATTGATGATAATAAAATATTGTCCTTATCTGGAATATTTGGATGGTGGCAGCATAGTCATAGTCAGAAACAGTCGGTATTATTCTCAGGTACAAGGACAGCTGCATTTATCTAAACATCAGATATGGTTTTTTTTAATAATATTTACATAACTAATGTCAGTTACTTGGTCTTTGAAAACCCAACGGTAAGCAGTGTCCGCGATTTTATTAAATATTAATTTATAGATTATGATATCTGTTGCACAATATACCTGGGCATCGGAAGACTTGGTCATAATAAATATGTTTAAATTATTAGTGATATGCTTCTAAGTTCACGCTTCGTTAATTCATTCATTCTTGGCATTTCATTTCTTTATCCTTCCCTACTTTGACAGGTTACGAAATGACCTGTTTCAAACTGGTTTATGATTTGTTCTGACATAAATAATTAAAAGCATACCCTTGGATTTTTAAATGCAAAATAAGTTAGATTATTGAACAGGTCAGTCAAAGAATTTACTACACACGTGGTCGTTTCTCTAGCCGTGAGGGAAGATAGTACCAATGCCATGGCAATAGCCCGTATGTTAATGTCGTCAACTTTGAATCCATCATCGGCACATGGCATCATGATAATATAAATTCTTTTATTATTTTGTCTCTTAATCAAACTGTTTACATTTATTTGTATCTCTGTGTCCCTTTGAGACTGTTTATATAGTGTTGTTAATAAAATACCGTGAAAGGCGTGAAGCAGTGTCAACCAGTCGGTATCTCATGATCGAGGCTATCTCATGGCGGCAGTTCTGGGACCGTTGCTTGTCAGTAAATAAAATATAAAAACTTGACACTCGGGATTTTTGGGACTAGATTTTTAATATTTGGTTTAAGGCAACTATTTTAGTGTTATGTTGTGCACAGACGACCTTGACATCAACATAAAGCAAGAATACGTCTCGCCGAAAGTCCTTGACATTGATAACGTTCGTGATGTCACAGTACCCCCCAAAATGAAATTCACAGACTTGGAGAACAATCGGAATAAAGTGTTTAGTAACGGTTGTGGCCTCATCTAGCGTCTCGTACTGCCACACAATGTCTTCTCGTGGATCTCAGAACATTAGTAAACACTACCCGAGGAAGACGTCGCCAATGCTCAGCAAGAGCATGTTGAAGGTCCTGCAACGTCAGTGGTGGATTTACTTGCTGACGAACACGTCGACCCAGTTCGTCCCAGATGTGTTCAATAGGATTAAGGTCGGG